GGATGTACATGAAGGAAGTTTGTACAGCAAGAGACCATCAGGGCTTTTCAGCCCTGAGTATTCTGTCCCCTCCAGAGAGGAGGAGTTTGCAGCAGGGTGAGGAGAGTTCATTAGACGTTGCTGCAGCATGCACGGAGGATCCCAGGAGGCTATCTGATTACCTTTCTCCGATGTGTGCACATCAAAGACCCTTCTGATGACTAATTCAGTTCCCCAAGGTCTTCGATGTAAAAGTCGGGGTGTGCATTGGGTAAGAGACCCAAGGTCACCGGAGTTTCTGATTCCTGGAACAACACAGGAGAAAAAATGTGGTCTGGATGCCTCAGGACCAAGTAGTGCCCCCTTTGTTACTGGATGCACAGCCCCCCAAAAAAGTGCTTAACACTCGGCTTCTGCACCCACGAAACCTGGCTGCCATCAACGAGCATGTCCAGAATTGTGGTGAAAATAAAATAAGATAGAATAGGCCAAAGCATTTTGGAAATGATGAGTATACGGATGGTCGAGAACAAATCTCTGCTGGTCACCTTTCCTTTTGCTCACTCCACTCCAGAGACTTGGGTACACCAGAACCTTCTCAAGCCCTCCCTCAGGCTGAGATTTAGCAGGTAAGCTCATAGTCATCTAAGAATTCTCAGGTCCAGTATTCTCTAGAAAGCTCTTTTCAGCCAACCCAATTTAGATGATTTTTCTCTTTAATGGTGCTGGACTCTTCTTCTTCATTGCGCTCCTCTAAGTGATTATTATGTGTATCTTTCTTTATTGTCCCTCTTAACTAGAGTATAAACTCCTTGGGGGGAGGCATCCTGTGGGACTGACCCGTGCTGAGTTCCTAGTTCCTGGCACAACGTAGGAATCTGACACTCCCTGCTGTAGAAAATGAGTGTCCTATGAATGTAAAGGGTTGCTATCAGATGACCCCAGCATCCATAAAAACACTGGCTTCTTTGTTTATAGGTCAAAGGGTTTGTAAAGTTTGGGGCAATTAGTTTCACTGAACTTAATGAATTTTGGCTGATTAGATAAAACCAGGTTTGCTTTGGCAGCAGCCAAGACCAACTCTGTGCTGTCACCTTCCAAGGCCTGGCCTAGGCAGTCGCAGGCCCATTTTTTCCACCTTTGTTTCATTTGAGCTTCCTGACGCTAAGCAGCTGGGCCCTGGGTCTTCTTCGTGGATGACTTTCTTTTGGGGATGTCCAGCTGACACAGTAGAGGGGAAACCCTGAGTGCAGGAGGAGCAGCGTAGGTGGGACGTGGACTTGTCAGAAAGCCCTGTGAGAAACGTGTCGAGGACAGGCCATCTTCCCATGTGTCCCCCGCTCCAGGACTAACTTCCACAAGCATTCCAAAAGACACTGAAACCCCTCTTTAGTATTTCTCCTCCCACCTAGCCTCCCCATCACCAGACTGTCCTCCAAACTGTTGATGGCGTTAATCTTCCACAAGCTGAGGGTGGCCACACCCCTATTCTGCTTCAGATCCACCTACACTTCTCCATCACCTACAGGGTAACGTGAAATCGATGGTATTATACTTCTCAACCTGAGCCTTAAATCTTCTGCTTCACGGCCCCTCACTTTTCCTTTCACATCTTCCTCTCTAAGCAGCTCCGCGTCTCTCAACACACTGCGTTATCTCACTTTTCTGTACCTCTGCCCACAAGTTTCTCCCTCAACCTTTTCAGCCTACTGAATCCCACCCGATCAGCTCAGATATCAACTCTCTCATGAGGCCTTTCTGATAATAGCTCCTTCTCCCCCAGTCTGGCTGACTGGATAAATAATCTGGCCTTTCTTTCTTTTTCTTTTTTTAATTTTGGATTAATATGAGGGTACCTACAATCAGGGTACATTGTTAGTGTTTGTAGGGTAAAATCCAAGTTGTAGTTGAGTCCTTCACTCAGAAAATGTCCCCTATACGCCTACATTGTACCCATTAGGTGGGAACTTACTGAGCCCCGTTCTACCCCTCTTGAATTTAACTCTATTCTATTCCCATGTGGGCCTATAGTTGTTAATCTACTAGATTCAATTTAGTACTGAGAGCATGGGATACTTGCTTTTCCATTCTGGGGATACTTCACCAAGGAGAATGTTCTCCAAATCCATCCAGGTAAATACTAAAGATGCCAAGTCTTCATCTTTTTATGGCTGAATAGTATTCCACGGTATACATATACCACAGCTCGTTAATCCATTCATGGGTGGACGGGCACTTGGGTTGTTTCCACATCTTTGTGATTGTGAATTGAGCTGCAATAAACATTCGAGTCCAAATGTCCTTATGGTAAAATTATTTTATTTCTTCAGGGTAGACACCTAGTAATGGGATTGCAGAATCAAATGGAAGGTCTACATTTAGCTCATTGAGGAGTCTCCATACTTCTTTCCAAAAAAGCTGTGTTATTTTGCAGTCCCACCAACAGTGTAAAAGTGTTCCCCTCCACCTGCTCCCATGTCAGCATCTGCAACCATTAAAAAGGATGGAGACTTTACACATTGAATTGAAACACATTCTTCTTAGTAAAATATCACAAGAACAGAGAAGCAAGAATCCAGTGCACTCAATACTAATATGAAGCCAGTGGATGATCTACTACATGCCCACATAAGAGAAAACCTCAAATCAATTCAGGGTGGGGGGCAGGGAACGAGGGAGTGGGGAGGGAGAGGAGGAAAAGGGATAGGTACGCTCCCATTTAATGGGCACAGGGCTAATGTATATGGCACACCTCTTGGGGGTGGGACACAATTATAAGAGGGACTCTACTTAACAAATGCAAACATTGCAACCTAATTCTTTCTACCCTCAAATTTACCTGAAACAATAATAAAAAAAAAAAGTAGGTGGGTGGTGCCTGTGGCTCAGTGAGTAGAGCCCTGGCCCCATAACCCGAGGGTGGCAGGTTCTAACCTGGCCCCGGCCAAACTTTAACCACAAAGAAAAAAAAAATAGCCAGGCGATGTGGTGGGTGCTTTATAGTCCCAGCTACTCGGGAGGCTTAGTCAAAGCATCGCCTAAGCTCAAGAGCTGGAGGTTGCTGTGAGCTGTGACGCCACAGCACTCTACCGAGGGTCACAAAGTGAGACTCCGTCTCTAAAAAAAAAAACATAAAACAAGAATAAAGTAGGTTAAAAAAATGTTGTTATGCTGCTCAGTGGAGAATTGTTCATTCATTTAAAGACGGAGTTGAGTTAGCAAGGAGACTTCACAGAGAAGGTGCCACTTAGGCCAGGCCATGGAGAACAGGTGGAATCCATCAGTGGAACCAGAGTGGAAGGTATTTCAGGGAGAGGTACCCAAGCAGAAACACAGAGAGGTAAAAGAGCATGAAATTCAGATTCATACAAAATTGTTCCTGAGTGTGGGCATGTAGCTGCTGAGATTATGCTTTACTAACCCTTTTTTTGAGTCATAGAACTCTGAGAGGGACAAACAGAAGTTAATTATCTCTCTACCCAAAAGTGTGTGCTTGTGTGTGTGCGCAGCGTATGCACACACACAATTTTGTAGACATTTTCATGGAGTTCATGAACCCTCTGTCCCAGTAGACACAGAGGGTTGATTTTTGAATTATTTAATTTTTATGCATACACACAAATTGAGAGTGGCTTATGGCTTTCTGAGCCACTCACTCCCCCCTCTCCAAGTATTAGTGTTACCTAAAGAATAACTCATTGAGGGTTTGCAATAAAATTAACTGTTGAGCGTTTACAAGTAATTAGTTGATCTTTCGCCTCCAAAGTTTACAGGAGGCCATGGGTTAATTTCCTCTACCACAATTATTTTTTCCACTTCTTTTGGTTAAAATGGTTAGAATAATAGGGATATAAATTTAGAACGTTAGTAGAAACAATCAAGTGTGGGGATTGGCCTAAGTTTCAGGCTTTTTTCTTTTTTTTAAATGCTCCAATCTAGAGCAAACTGGGAGTGGCCTGGGTTTCCTGTGCTCTACTGTTGTCTGGGCCTAGTCTACCTGCAGGTAATTAATTCCCCAGCCTGCTTATTTTTTCTAGTTGGCTCTTGTTTAGCTTCCACAGAGCCCCACCCCAAAGTGCTTTATTGTCCCTCTGCTGACTATTCCTACATATGGTCAAAATCAACGTACCTTCCGGGTTGCTGACATCGGCAAATTCTCTGTTTGGCAAACTCGGCTCTGCTCCCAGTAACCCTTTGTTCAAGAAGTGTTACTGCAACCCGGAGTGTATCTGATCACCAACAAGCCTATCCCATCTCTTCTACTCTCAGATAGACTCCTAAGGAGAAACTCTTTGTGTTTGGATTTACAGCCACAGGCTGGATCTTAGCACTCCCAGACCTGCTGGTTACTTAGAGCACTGCTAATGAGCAAACAACCCTGCCTCAATTAGTGGTTTGAGAAATATTCCTGAATATCAAATTGCTTTGGCTGCTTGATAATCACTCTGGCTCTTGGGATAAAAAGCAACCAAGCAAAAATTGTTCCCTTGTTGAGTACTGCCTTGTTGATCTCGTAAGTTATACCTGTAGACAGAATACAAGTTTGCTATTTCCCCAGAGCTGAGGTTTGATTTACACATGGAATCACTGTGTTCATGTTTTCTCTTGCCAAATCTTTCCCATAGTATTATATTACTATCTTTTGAGACTGACTCTGTAATTATTTAAACAAGTTTGATTATTTTAGAAACAAATGAAGAAATAAACTAGAGACAGATCCCAAATGCTAAACTGCTAGCGATAGCAGCGATTTCCTCAGGTATAGGTGTTTATTTGGGAGAAGAGAGGTAGAGAGAGAGACAGACACAGAAAAAGGGCCAGAGGCAGGATTGATGAACCTGGGAGAACGGTTCCTGTAGATCAAAGCTTCTAATTTGACTCTTTCTAAATTCTCTGCTTCATAATTACTAAGTAGCTCTGCACGCAGTCATGTTAATTTCAGCAACTAAAAAGCAAAGCTTCAACATGTAACTTGGGAAGAGGAAGAGAGTGAAGGGAAAGCAATTCAAGATCTGTTATCAGTATTTGAATACATTTATTGTGACAAGAATGCTGTTATAAATATTCATAAGCAAAGGCCATCTTTTTTATCTAGGAATTGTTAAAGAGAAGATTCCAAATTGGAAGGATACATCTTTTGTAAAATCTGCCACCAGTTCCTGCTTTGAGCATAAGCATCTATTGTTCAATTTTTACTAACATTATAAATGATCACAGCACATGCCACTTGATACATCCCAAACTTTTGATGCCGGACTTCCCCTGGGCTGCCCCTCTCCACTGCAACCCCCGCCCCCCTTCCTCCAGCCTCCTGAAACACCACACTACCCTTTGGTAAGCAATTCTATACGGATATTTGGGGGAGAGAAAAGTGTAACCTGATGATAGCATCAGGGATCTTTTTTTCTGAAGTTTAATAAAGAATAGTTTTCCCTGTTTGAAAGTTACAAGCACTGACAGTGATGTTAATTGGCACTCTTCAGCTCCACCTAGATATCGATTATCTATACAGGATGCAGAAAAGAGGTTGGGGGGTACTTTTCAACATTTTATTGTATTTTCTTAAATATCTCCTTTCTGGAATTTTCAGAAACAAAACATAAAAAAATTATATATTTTATTACAAATGGTAAACTCAGAGTGCTCCAAATCTCTTATTTACAAACAACACTGGGCAGGACGCCCAAACAAACGAACATGAAATAACTTACAAAGGCATGAAGCTGTTTATTGACAGTAATCAGCTTTCATCAAATTAAAAAATATATATATGTACAGACACAGTTAACGAAGGCAGGCCAGAAAGCGTTCGTCTGCAGGCTCAGCCTCACTCTTCACAAACCTCCCTCCCGCCTCCCCGCCCCAGCCCACCCCACCCCCCGGCTTTGTGTCCTTAAGGAGTACTACGGAAGCAATCTACAGTATTGCAGTTTGTAACCCCCGCCCCTCCCCCCTTGTAATACTGAATGAGATCGAATGTTAGGTCCATGCAGTTCTTGGTCAATGTTAAAGAAAAGTCTAACGTTCTGTTCGCGCGGGGACAGCCCATCCGCAAAGCGGGGCAGCCCGCAGGCGGCTGCTCCCTGGCTCCTCGCCAAAGGAGGGCGCGCCAAGTCCTTCCCACTCGTGCACACTGGGGGCGCCGTCAGGACGCAACCCAGTCCAACTTGGATACCCTTGGCTTTAGTTCTCGCGGACACTCCTTTTTTCTCTCTGTCGCAACTTGTCAAGTTCTCAAGTCTGTCTCTCATTTTTTTCTCCGTTACCCCTCAGCCCCCGACAGTCTCTCCTCAAAACGTTTGCAACTGCTGCGTTAGCATGAGTTGGCACCCACTGTTAACGTGGTTCATGACTTTCTGTTTAAGCTGTGCCACCTGTTCCCTAAGCATGTTGGCCGTGGACGCCAGCTCCGAGTTCTGCGCTTTCAAGGTTTTCACTTTTTCCTCCAGCCGGGCGATCCTCTCTAGCTTCCTTTTCCGGCACTTGGAGGCAGCGATGCGGTTCCTCATGCGCTTCCTCTCCGCCTTGATCCGCTCCTGGGACTCCATGTCGATGGGGGACAGGGGCGGCGTCTCGCCGGGCATCTCGGGCACCGTCTGCGGCTCCTCCTTCAGCGCCTGCAGCCGCGGGTGCTGCACAGGCATCTGCTGGGGCAGGTGGTGCGGCGGCTGCGGCGCCTGCTGCTGCTGCTGGGGCTGCGCGGGAAAGGCCAGTCCGGCCGCGCCGTAGGAGGGCGCCCCGCCGCCGCTGCTCAGCGCGCCCGGGTTGAAGTTGCTGAGGTTGGCGTAGACCGGCGGCTCGCTGTGCAGGCTGGCGCTGAAGCCACCACTGCCGCTGCCTCCGGCCACCGAGGCCACCGCGGGAGCCACCATGCCCGCCCCGCTGACCGGCTGCGCCGCAGACGTGACGCTGGGCAGAGTGTTCTGGCTATGCAGTTCGGCCAGGGCGCGCACGAAGCCCTCGGCAAAGCCCTCCTGCTCGTCCGTCACGTTCTTGGGGCACAGGAACTGGGTGGGGGTCGGCGTGGTGGTGATGTGCCCATTGCTGGACTGGATTATCAGGCGCTCCAGCTCGGGTGACGCCAGTTTGAGAAGCCCCACGTCGGGAGAGGTGAGCAGGTCCGAGTTCTTGGCGCGGAGGTGCGGCTTCAGGCTGCCCACCGGATCGGCCAAGTTCAGGGTCATGCTCTGTTTTAGGATCTTGGGGTTACTGTAGCCATAGGCGCCGCTCTCGGACTGGAGGAACGAGGCGTTCAGGGCATCGTCGTAGAAGGTCGTTTCCATCTTTGCAGTCATAGAACAGTTCGTCACTTCACGTGGGGTTAGTTTGGGCTGCGCGCAGAAGTTTCGGGGCCGCAACAGCGCTGTGGCAAAGCGGGGAACACCCGCACCTCCCGGGGCCTTCAGCGGGGAAAGTTTCTCTTAAGAGTTCGCGCACCCGCTGGCTGTCTTTCCCCCCGGCGCCCTCCTCACCAGCTCGCTCCAGGGAGCGTAGGGTTAAGATGCCGCCTGCACTCTTACTTGTTGGCTCGCGCGTGCAGCCCGGCTTTGAAAAGTCGCGGTCACTCACGGAGCACTCTTCGGTCCCAGCGGTTCCTCGGTGCCAGCGGCCGAACTCGCTTCCCGGCACAGCGGTTCTGCCGGCGGGTTAGCACGGATTCCGCAGTAGCCGGTCGGCGGCGGGTCTCAGCCGCCCGCACTCCCAACAACTGTCCCCTCCTCCGCGGCGAGGGGGAGGGGGACGCCTGGCAGCCGCGGCTCGCGCTCGCCCAAGTTCAACAACCCGCGCGAGGGAAGCCGAGCACACCTCCCTCCTCTCTCGCGCCTCGCTCCGGGGTCTTCTGGTCTTTACCGCCGCGGGGGCAGCCTAAGGCGCAGGAAAGGTTTGCAGAAGTTCGCTCCGGGACCCCGGGGCACTTGTCCCCGGTCCTCTCGGTCAGGAAAGTTCTCTGCTGCTGCAGCCGCTCGCCGACTTGCCCCGGCGGACGCGCGGGCAGTCACCGCTCTCCGTGGCTGTCAGCGGCGCCCAAGCAGCGGGGTTCTCCTCCTGGGGGCGGCTGGAGAAGGGGCTCTCCCGGCGCTCCCCAAAACACCAGTCCGGAAGCCAGAGGTCCTAGCTCTGGGCAGTTGGAGAGAAAACGGAAAAGAAAATAAAGATTTGCAGTTCGGACCCTCCTGCCGTTCTGCCTGGCTGACTGTATCTCTGTCTGTCTGTCTGTCTGCCCGAGTCCGCGAACCTCCACTCTCGCCTGGCTGCCTCTGCCACACTCAGAGCAACTCTGAGCCCTTACCCAGCCGGAGCTCAACACTTATCTGCTACCAGTCAACCCCTAAAAATAGCCCATGATGTCACCCCAAGGCCTTCCCATTGGCTCGCGTCGCTCTCAAGGGGGCGGGCCCGCCCGTCGCCATGGAGACCCCGCCCTAGAAGATTCTTCTCTGGGCCCGCGGAGGCTCACGGGATGAGGTAATGCTCCGCTGCCCTCCTACAGTTGGGCCCTTCTTTCGCCTCCTCTCCCCCTCCCCCTCCCGCAAGGCTCTCGCCCCTCTGCTACCCTGTCTCCTCCCCAGCCTGTCTTTCCCGGCCCGCCCGGTGCATTCTGGGCTGACGTCTTGGGGTTTGACTGTGTAGTGACGGGGCCACCGCGAGCGGGTGGACGCTCCCAGCCGCTGACGGAGGCGGACTCAAGTTCACAGCTCGGGACCCGGGACACTGGGGGTGCGGGGACCAAGGAGGCTGGGTAACCCAGTCGCTTGCTCGGGGACGAGGGTGCGGGGGAGGGCGGCATTTCCCCACTGGGGGGGCGGAGGACTGGAAGCGGTCCCCGAGCACTTTGGCGCCGCGCGGGCTCAGCGCGCCGAGCGTTGAGTCCTGCCCCCCCGCACTTCCGGGGGCGGGAGCACCGCCCTTAAGGTGGCTCTGTGGAGTCCCCCACCGGGCGAGCGAAAGTGGGCTTACGTTTGGGGGCGGTCTCTCGAGAGTCGGCCCCACACGTTGAGAACGCTCTGAAGTTTGTGTCTTGGTCAAGTTCAGGAGCGGCGGTCCGCGCCGCAGTCTGGCTGCGCCCAGAAGCGGAGCGATTTGTATCTCCCGAAACTGGGCGCTCCGCTGAGTCCCCCTTGTACCCCACTTCATCCAACTGGACCTTGGGGAAAGGGGATGCAATTAGGAGGTGACAGCGTCCAGATGGGAACGAACAGGGACCCGAAACTCAGGGAACCCCGGGGATAGTCCATGCCCCCACCTACTCCCACCCCGCGCCACACACACACACACACTCACTACCCAGCACAGACACAGTCTGTTCGCTCGGGTTTGATTCCGGGAAAACAAGTCTGGAGGGCGGTGGACACTCGCCAAAAGTCACGCAGAAGTAGGAGTTCGGGGTGAACCCGGACTCAGATCTCTCCAGTCCGGGTCGGGTGGTGGGCCATATCTCGTGCAGCCTCTAGGAAGCGCTAGACACATGTAAGTAGCTCCTTTGCTGCGGTTATTTTATCGTCCCTCCCCAACCCCCCAGCCTTTAGGGACAAAGGTGTGTGGTGGAAAGAATCCCGAAGTCCAGGCTGCCTCGGTGTGAAGTCAGCACATTACGGAGCTTCTCTGCGCTTCAGTCCCCTCAACTGCGCCGGGGGCGGGTGAGGTCCACCTCAATGGGCTGCCACGAGTTAGTGCTGCGTCGTCGCCTGTAGGACTAGGGAGGTGGCGGCCCAACAGCCCCCATCCCTGGCCTTCCGCGCGCAGCTTCCCAGAGCCTGGGTGGAATGCCAGGATGCGAGCGTGTGATTTGGCAGGACCAGGTGAACTTTTCTGCGAGGAGCAGTTAGGGGAGCAGTTGAGGGAGGAAAGGGTGAGAAGTCAGCTCCTTCCCGAGCCTCCTGGCTAGCGCTGGGGGTTGAAGTTCCTGGGTTCTAGTTTGAACTTCATTGCCTCTGAACTCGGGGGAATTCAGCCTTGGGTTCATTGCTCCTAGCTCTAAGGTATTTGTGGCTGTGAGTGTTCAGAAACCAACAACAGCTGGTATCAGTGGGAAGTCGGCCAACTTTTCTTCACTCCAGGCACTCTCCTGGCTTTCACTGATGCAGCGGAGGATAACTGAATGGCTGCTGTGAGCCAGGCGCTGAGCTGGGGTGGGGAGTGGGTAGGATCCAGTGACCACCAGGTCCAGTTACTTCCCTCTCTGTCTGCTGCCCTGAGTCATTTTCTTTGTAATCAAGAAGCTGATGTTCTAAATATTTTTTATGATAACAGTAAAAAAGAAAAAAGTATCATGTAGTAAATCCTTATTATCTGCCAGGTCTTCTGCTAAGTAATTTAGATATGCTGTTTCTCCCCACTACTATCTTGAGAGAGATAAATTATTATGTGGATTTAACATATAAGGAAATAGACCCAGAGAGGCCAAATATCTTGCTGAGGTCACATGGGCAGCTGGAAACTGACCTCAGGTCTACCTACCATTCCTTCCACTTACTTTCTTTTTTCTTTTTCTTTTTCTTTTTTTTTTTTTTT